AGAGCCCTGTGCCTTCGGCTCCCCTCCATGTATGACGGGAGACCGTTGCCTCTTCCATACCCTGGGGCTCTAAGTCTATAAATAATACCTAAGTTGGGCCCTAAACCCTATGAATAATACCTACGTGGAGCCTTAGGGATAGGGTACCCTTCCCTAAAGGATCCCAAAACATGTACCTCCTCAAAAAAAGGCTCCAGTGTTACATTGGAGAGCCTAGGGGCTCATTGGAGGGTTCCATGTTTTATCCTTTAAGGGGTCTGGGTTGACAACCATTGAAAGCCACAGGTATGCAGAGTGGCCTCTTGGGCTGTGTTGGGAAAGTTTTAGGCGATTTGTCCACCTACTTTTGGGGTCCAGGCAGACTCTGAATCCTACATCCTCCACAGCTCAAATCCCTAAACTGTAAATGCTAAACCCTGAACCGCAGGGTCTAGGATACCCTAAACCCTCCTAAACCCTAAACCCTCCTAAACCCTAAACCCTAAACCCTCCTAAACCCTAAACCCTATTTGGGGTAGCTTCCGACTTTACAGTTCTGCTTCTGCTTCTTGGGGTTTTAGGGCTAAGGTGCTGGTGCATGGAATAGCATCCAACTTCAGGACTCTGGGTTTAGGGTTTAAGGTCTTAAACCCTAAACCCTAAACCCTAAACCCTGACGCAGGGTTGAGGGCTTAGGGCTTAGGGTTCAGGGTTTAGGGCTTTGTAGTACCAGGACACCTGTACAAGTTGCATGAGGGAAGATCCAGGGTAGTAGGGGCTCCCAGTTCTTAGGGCTTGGGGTTCAGGATTCAGGCTCTAGCACATTTTCGAGGCCAGCATGTTCCCCGTTGCATACCTTACCTGAACTCTAAAACTAGGTAAAATAATTACCAAAGTCACCTCAATATAGCCCGAGAGGCCATTGTCATACATACTTTTGGGGTTCAGGTAGTTCTGACTGAGGGTGGCTTCGAGTGATGGACTTTTATTAGTGAGACATGCCTTGGGGGGGGGGAATAGACATAGATAATTGCCCAGGGAGCCCAATACCCCTTAATGAAGGAATATAGCTTAAATCATATTCGGGACCCTAGGACCATTTAGGGTATTGGGCTCTCCGGGTGCTAATGTCTTTGAATATCCGCTTGGAATGCACGTCACCGATGTAAGTATATTTGCCGTGGTCCTCTAATGATGACGCTGTTCTAGTTCTTCATTCTTTCGTGTCTTTCTCGTGCTTCACACAACGATAATTAATAACAACTGCAGAGAAATGGGGTGTACCAAGGCATTATGAGGCTCTCTTTCAAGCATGACATAGACATCAATTCGAGAAACTCTCCTTTCAGGAAGACCACTCTTACAGTCCTCACCCAGGCATGGGGACTACAAGGAGATTCAAGCAGGTTGCTTCAAAATCATCAACAAGAAAGCAGAGCTAGTTCCACTGCATAGCCCACCAAAGTCTCCAGTGTGCCCGTATCCCTGGAGCTCACCTAAAACATAAACTGGTGAAGGAAAGGCATGCTTGGGGCAGCTTTGGGGGGGTCGGATTTAGGGTTCAGGCCATACGGATTGCAGGGGGATGATGCTAGAAGCTAGTCAAGCTCAAATGCGCGATAGTCAAAATTCCTAGTATCCCCCTTAATAATCCCTATAATGCTCGCCTATAATCCCCTGTATAACCCCTTTTAATGAATTTAGATCCTAAATCCTAAACAATAGACGCTACATATAAGCGCCCCATGTAACCCCCCTAATTTACGGAGTCCCCCTTAAGCAGATAGAATATGGCTTCGGGTATACTAGAATAAGATCCGCATATACCCCAAATTGAAGCTATTTAAGGGGGACCTTAGCTCAAATTCTGGCAACGGCGCGCCTGCACCATGTTGCTGTAGAAGTCTCCAAGGGTCGAAAAGTTGCTGTTCAAGGTTTGCAAGTAAAACCTGACTAGGGTTAAGGGTTCAGGGTTTCGGGTTTAGTGTGTAAGGTTTAGAGTTTGGGTTTTAGTGTGTATAATGGTTTCGGGTTTAATGTTTAGGGTCATAATGATTTGTTATCACTAGAAAGATCTCAAAGCACATGATTATTGTATGCTAGACCCTTAGGGTTAATCAAGGGAAAGCTGATGGGTGTATGCGCTTTGGACTTGAGCTTTCAAATCAAACTTCAGATCCTAAACCCTAAACCCTAAACCTCATGTGGGACGTTTTCAAAGTGACGCCTAAAGTCCTCCAGATCTCAAACAAGCACTCGGCGTAATCCCTTCCCGTAGGGAAACCCGCAATTTGAGAAGGTCAATTTCAGGACCAGGACCCCAAATCCTAAACCCTAAACCCTGATTCAGGTTACAGGGAGGCTAGGACATTAAAATTGTGCCTAACCCTAGAACCAGACCCCCCAAAGATGTATAGCAGGCCAACAAACCCATGCTTTTTGGGCTAAGGTTTAGGATCCAAATTTGGGGTATGTCATGACAAATCGCGCGGTCTCTAACCCTCAACCCTAAACACTAAATCAGGATCCTGCTTTTGGGACCCACAAAACACGACGAGCAGCTTTGAGAATCTCAACCCTAAACCCTAAAACCTAAAAAATGGAGCATCTTGGGGGAGGAGGCAAGTCGAGACCCTACCTTGTGCATGGTAGGGCTTTTAGGCTGTGGGGTTTTAGGGTTTAGGATTTTTAGGCCTTTGGGATCTTTAGGGTTTAGGGTTCTAGGGTTTAGGGTTTTAGGGCTTAGGGTTTTAGGTTTAGGGTTTAAGTTTTGGAGTGTTGGGTTTAGGGTTTGGGGTGTAGAGTTTAGGGTTTTGGAGGAATGGATCCCTCGAGTAATCAGCGTTTCATGCCTCCTATCAATCCTTGTATCTCATATCTTCGCTCCTACCAACCAGCAAGCCCTGTCACCTGAAACACATGGGGGGGGGGTTCCTAAAATTAGGGTTTAGGGTTTAGGGACCATCTTGGTACCCCTAAATTCTAGGAACAACCCACATACCCAACTGTGTCGACAGAGCCTCCTAGCAACACGGCCTGCAGTCTCCCATAAACATCTGATTCATACCGGGCCATGATCGGCGTTCCCTTTATGCAGGTATGTAGGGTTGGGTCATCTTACGATTTCGAATTAAACTCTGCTTGAACGAACATCCTTCAGGGCTGGCGACGGATGCCAAACACAGGTAAAGGGATTTTAGTTTTGAAGCCGTATGACGCCGCAGGATGTGAAGGTCAAGTCCCTACATCCAATTCTGATGCCAAGGAGCACGAAGGACAGCAAACTGCCTGCCTGCCGGTGTGTATGCGCGTGCATTTGCAAATAGGCTTCGAGGGTTTGGGGAATAAGTGCTTAAACTTCTCACATGGTGTTGTAAGTCGTGGTCCCTTATAGATGCTTTGTCTGTCAATGAAACGCCTGGAGTTTCCGATTTTTTGCAACCTATTTGCAATAGGGCAGACAGTTCATGCTTCTGGAGACTGCAACTATTCTCCCTTCTTGGAGTGGTTCCTTGTCAAGAGCTCGGATGAAACACTCAGCTTCCTCTGCCGCCTCTTTTTTACCAAGCATTTGGCCTCTGCTGGGCTGCCTTTGGCAGTCCCTGCACGGGAGCAACCTGTAGAAGTACAAATGATGGCCATTCTTCGTCCGTCATAATTCGTGTGTCCTTATCACGTTTTAATATAGGTATACAGATACAGATACTCCAAAAAGCACACCCTAAATAAGAACTTAAACCCTCCAACTACCCTCTATTCAGGCCTATGTACCCACGATTATCACTATTAGGGATCCTACAAGGGTACTGGGAAGGCCTTGCACCAACATGATCTATAGCCTAAACTCCTAACATCCCCCTTGAAAACCCCTGTAGTACTCCCCTATAAAATCACCTATTTAAGCCCCTTTAAAGAGTTTAGACTGTAGCTCACATGACATTGCTGAGCTGGCACTGCAGGTCTGGGCTACGGAGAGCAACCCCAAAGCGCCCCATCTGCTGCTGCATGATGTAGGGGGTCAAAAAAACGAGGGTAGGGTTTAATGGAGTGTATATGGGGGCTTCCCCAAATCAGGGAGAACGTTTTGGGGGTCCCCATATTAAGGATGATCATATTTTGGGACTACATTTGGGTCCCCCTATATTGGGAAACTCGTGCTATTCTATACTTGCATACGGAATGTAACGGGAGACGATTGGAAACCATTCTGGCTCCTACCGTGTCAGCGGAGCTTCGTCTGGGATCAGCATCAGCTCGCCGAAAGGGAATCTGAACAACTCGGGGGCTTTCCAATATGAGGGTTACTTCCCAGACCCCCTAAAGGATTCAAAAAATGGAACCCCCTAATAATCCCCTAGTTTCCCCAATGTAGTAATGGGTTCATATTGGGAAGGTTCCATTTTTTGGATCCTTTAGGGGTCTGGGTTTTCGGGCGTGCCCATAATAAGGATTATAGCATATTGGAGTCTATATTGGGGGTCCCCCTACTTAAGGAAAGCCCTAATGGGGATTGTGTATGAGCTTCTCAACCAGCACTGAGCCTCATTTCATGGGCTTGGGCATCAGGACGGCTTGGCATTTCCTAGCAGACAGAGCTGGAACGTTCAGGGCGGTTCGCTCTTGGCGCATGTTGGCGTCCACCAAGGGGAGAGTTTCATCGCGTACAGCTCTGGTATGTTGACGGCTGGCCGTTTGCTTTGCAAAAGCAGGAAAGGGAGGCCGATCCCTCGCTCAGCAACTTCAAACAAGCTTCAACCTTGCCGGCAAAGTAATTCTACTATAGTATAATAGGCATATATTGGGCTATATCAAGGGATAATAGAAAAGAAAATGGAAACTACTATCAGATGACCATGCGCCTTGTCAATCTGTGCTGCATGACCACGCCAACTCTGTGTGCAGCTTGGAAGACAGATGTCAGTTGCAGGTGCCCTTCGCCCTCGCTTCCCCTAAGGGTCCAAATACTCACAGCCTAAACCCCAAATCATAAACCCAGTGTTGAGCACATGGACCCTTAGGGTTCACTTTCCCATGAGGATCATGAGGGCAAACTCAGAGATTTTGACTCTTTCATAGGCCATGTTCTCTCTCTCCAAGAAGGCCACCTCCAGAATTAGGGTTTAGGGTTTAGGGTTTGGGGTTTGCGGGCCAAGTAGTGTGAAGTGCATGTCAACACAGGATGCATGAAGAATGAGTGAATGCTCATGACATTGCTGAATATGGGGGTTTCCCAACATTAAGGGTACCTTATTGGGGGTCCCCA